GGTTAAAGCAGAAGACATAGAAAAAAGCAGTACTTCAGGAAAAGCTATTTATAAATGTCGCAGGCACACCTAAATTAGTGTCCCAGCAGAGTAACTAAAGCATGTGTACCTCTACTTTGGACAAAGTTGACACAATAAATTAAAAGGGTGTATTCTAATCAAGCATTCCTTCCAGCATAGAATTCTAATAACCTGACTTCCTTCAGCAAATGAAAGGTTGGCCCACACATTCTGTGCTCCCCACTTGTCATTAGTAAGATCCAGGTGATACTTGGGCCCCATTGTCCAATTACTGCAAATCAGGCCCCATTGTTAAAGAGTTATGATAAGAGCAGGGTATGAATGTGCCTATACTTGGGGAGAAAATTATATATGCTAGGAAAAATGAAAAAGTTTAAAAATCCAGCTTTACTTGTATTTAACAACCTGGTACTCTTACTTTTGGTCTATAGTCAGATGGTCACATATCCCATGTGGTATCTTGAGTGAACAGTGAAGATTCCATAAATTGGAGGGATTGTAACCATAGTACACTCATTGATTCATTGTCAGCACATCAGATTATATTGTGGCATCAAAAAAAAGTATTAAATCAAGATTTTAAAAAACAATGAAGCATATTTAATCAGATTATTCTCACCAAAAATTCTTTTAACCATAATATTTTGAAGGAGAGCAAAATTAGTAAATGAAATAGCATTTAAAATATTGTTTATGACATCTTTATCCCATTTTTTAAAAATGATACTTTTGTATATATTTTGCAAAAAAATGTTAGCACAGTAGTGCATGTACATAATTTATATAAAATACATATATATTGAGGAGTTGTGAACAAAATGTATTTTCTACTGATAGGAGTTCAAAAAAATTTAGAGCATACTGATATCATTATTCTCTTTCTCCTAGGTGAGGGACATAGTCTAAACAAACCTACAACAATGTAGAATCGGAAAAGGGGGTGGGGTTGGGGGTGGAGGAAAGAAGGTTGGATGTAAATAGTGGCATCAATCATCTTGAAGCAGAAAGAGAGTTAGAGTTGCCAGCATAGGAAACTATGTTGATCTTGGCTGTCCTGCTTATGATCTCTATGACCTTGAAAAAGTTCTTTCCCTCTCTTAGAGTCTCAGTTTCTTCACGTGTAAAAAGAGGAGCTTAAATTAGACAGTCTCAAGGGACCACTTCTAGCTCTGAACTCCTAGGAGCCCACTTAAAATGGAAACCCAGAAACCTTTAATCGTGTGTTGTCCCAGCCCGTATTATAGGAATAGTAAAATACAATTTCATCATTGTTAAATTGCTGCTGATCTTTTTTTTTCTTTAGGAAAAAAAATGCCAACTTTAAAAAAAATACTGTCTCTACATCACACTCATTTCTGGCTACAATTGCCTTCATCCCTACGATGAAAACTTGCTTGTAACAAAAACAGTTAAAGCAAAACTAAGACAGGGACACCACGTCCGATAGTGCAGAAAACCTTCTGCTTTCTTACTCTGCGTTTGATGCAAAAAGAGAGATTCCTGCCATTGATTCATATTGAGGACATGGGTAAAGAGCCTTCTCCAAGACTGGGAGGTTTAGGGTTCCAGCAGAGTGAACACAATCATTATAACCCCGTTCTTTTTGTTGTTGTTCAGTTATTTCATTCATGTCGACTCTTTATGATCCCATTTGGGATTTTCTTGGCAAAGATACTAGAGTGATTTACCATTTCCTTCCCCAGCTCATTTTACAGGTGAGGAAACTGAGGCACACAGGGTGAAGGGACTTGCCCAGAATCATACAGCTAGTAAGTTTCTGAGGTCAGATTTGAACTCAGGTCATCCTTACTCCAGACCCAGCTTTCTATCCATGATTTCTTCTTTCTTTTCAAAACATTCTCAGTTCAGAATGCCAGAAGGATGAATTTGAGGATGCTCCCATTCTCTGCCTGATATATGCTGAGAGGAAAACACTTTGTAAACCTGGAAAGATTGTAGAAAAATGGGCTATCACTATCATTATCACTTTTCAGTATAACAGAGTGTATGCGAGTATAACATTTTTCAGTATAACAGTGTATAGCAGGTAGGGCAAGCTTTTATTTCTGTTTCACAGATAAGGAATTGAGACAAAGATCTGATTGAATTCCTTGCTCTTATGATTTGGTCCAGAACTGGGTCTAAAACCTAGGTTTCCTGTCCCTCTAGTGCAAAACTAGAATCTTTCATAGTCACCCATGCCCAGTCCGGCATGGTGGCACCATCTTTCATTTTGGGGAGAGTTTAACCTCTTCTTTCCTTATAGCTGCTGTCTCAGAGGGCCAGGCCTTTGGGTCAGTAAGAGCTACAGTGCTATAGGGTTCTCAGTGTGGTTTCCTCACCATAGGTGAGAGGCCAGTCAGTTACTCCACATCCTTATTTAGCAAGCTGATGTACAAACCATATTTTGTCCCCATCCTTGCTCCCTGCTTCATGGAGGATCTCATTCTCTTGGTATGTAGACCAAACAGGACTGTACACTAAACAGAGGCAGACCCACCATAACTGACAAGTATGAGGAGCCTTTTTTTTTTTAACTTGTTAACTCTGCTGAGTTCAGTTCTGGTTAAATTGATGGCATTGTGGAAAAGAAGATCTGGGTTCAAATCCTAGTTGTGCTACGTTGTGACCTTGGGCAAGTCATTTATTTTTTAGTCAATGCTTTTGAGTTTCTTTTATTGAAGCCTCATTTTTTGCACCTCTGTCATTTCCTGATAACATCCCCACCACTGAACTCTTCTTGTAGCAAATTAAAAGAGTTAAGCAAAGTTAGCTGATCAGCCTTACTTGGTCTGACAATGTATGCTATGTTCTGCACCTGTGGTACTCTACCCTTTACTAAGAGGATGAAAATGTATTTCACTATCTATTCTCTGAGACCAATGTTGAGCCTTTGGGCAAATTATTTTACCTCCATCAGCCTCAGTTTACTTATCTTTAAATAAAGGGGTTGAAATAGAAGTAACTGACATAGATTTTGTGCTTGATGTACTCCGTCTTATTGGATACATATAAAAATCATAAAGTAGGTATTCTTTAAGTAATACTATTCACATTTTACTCATGAGGAAACTGCAGGCTCAGAAAGGTTGAGATTTACTCATGGTAACACAGCTAGTTAATTCCAAGACAGGATTTGATGTAAGAGGCTCCTCATACTTGTAAATCCAAAGAGCTTGTGATTTAAAATCCGACTTTCTCAAACTGGTATCATTTTACTTAGTTGGCTAAAAATCTGAACCTTCCTCTCTTGTGACTAAGACACTTAGGATCAGGACATTTAGAGCTGTCAAGGAAGATCCTTCCAAGTCTAACTTCATTTTACATTTGAGGAAACTGAGGTCCAGAAAAATGAAGTGGCTTGCCTAAGGTCGTACTGCTAGTAAGTAATAGAGCTAGGGTTCAAATCCAGTGTTCAATCCCAGTCCTTACTTTATTGCCCCTTCATGGTATGCACTTATTTGAAGAATCTCTGTGCTGGTCAGTTTTTGTTTTTTCATTTATTGGAAACTCCCCTTTGGTCAACATTGCTTCCCTTCCCACAAGGCCTTTCCCCACCCTCACTACAACTTGTTAGGCCTTTCCCCTTCCTGATTTACTTTGTATATAGTTTGTTTACTGTATTTACTTACTTATAATCTGCTAATTTTCATTCAGTAGAGTGAAAGATCTTTGTGGGCAAGGAAGGTTTTGTTTTTAATCACTGTGTCTCCAGTACTTAGCACTTAGCACTGTGCTTGGTCCGTAATAGATGCTTAGTTAATGCTTTTTGATGCTGGGTGACTTTCCAAGTTAATAATCTCTTCTCTTCCTACAGGTCTGAAGAGAATATCAATAGCAATACCAATGTTCAGAAGAGATGGTGGCTGTCCAACTGGTTTAACAATAGGTGAGGACGTCTGTGATAGGTGAGGTGTTTTGTTACATGAGCTTATGATTCCCAGATCCCACACACTTAAATGGTCATCAGTTGACTTTTTGAATAGTCCTCTTTTCCTTGCCTGTCAAAACATGGCTGGGAATATTACAACAGGAAATTATGACACATCAGCTTTCATCAGTCCACTACTATTTCAGAATGTGTGTCATCAACCCCTTGTAGGAACAGCCAACACTGTGGCTTCAACTCACTCCAGTGTGTGGAAGTTACAAGGAAACAGATTTCCTGTCATTCAGAGAAGGGGCTTGCTATTACTTGGAATGGCCGACAACCCAATGAGCTGCCCCTGAAGGGAGTGAGCTCCCTGTCACTGGATATGCTCAGGGAGAACATAGATGGCCATCTGTCATGCATATTCTGTAGGAGATTCCTTCTTTGAATGGAAGTCTGGATTGAGCAGTGTCTGAGGTCAATTTCCAACTCTGATTCTAGGGATTTAGTCTTACGAAGGACTATGCAGTTCAGAGAATCACTGGAGTGCTCAGTTGGGAGAACATGACAGCACCAGTCAATAAGCATTTTAACCATACTGATCACCTCATTTAATGGGTGCTTTGAAACAGGCAGCCTGATAATAGTGTTGCTTTCAAAGACAGGATCACTTTGGTGGGTTCCGGTGATTGCTTCTGGTTGGGTGACTGGTGAAGCACTCTACACTCTCAATGGTCCAGTCAACTCTAAGAAATTAAGTTGCAAAATGGTTGATGATTTGCCTTGTCATAGGGACTTCCCTCACCTACAGTGAGGAAAAATTTTGATCAAAAGAAGAGAGAAAGGAAAGAGAGAAAAAGAAAGAAAGGATGGAGGGACACAGTAGGTGTATCCTAAGCCTTTTATTCAAAGATAAATCTCCAGAATGGAGCTCAGGGGCAGAACACCTACATAAGCTGATTTTCTTTACCTCTGTCTAACAAGTCTTTGATCTAACATGTACTTAATCATTTTGAGTTATATCCACTGTTTCCAGACTCATTGTCTTTTTCTCTCTGTTTACACTCAGGAGCCGGGATTATCATATCGAAGAACCCCAGCTCTCAGATTGGTTTAATCCCAAGTAAGAGATAAACCTCTACTCCCTGGAAAGTTAATACTTGACATGGCTTAGTGTCAGGTCAAAGGTGTTCTGTGGCCAGCTGTCAGTAGCCTGGGGAAGATTCCAGATGGAGGGGAAGGGAACAACTCTTTGTTTCTAAGCATGAGCTCTGAGTTAGAAACCCAAATTCCAATTATGAGCTCAGTGCTTGAAAGACAGCTGACAATTCCTAAGTTGAGTGGGCAGTCATGGAATGTCAGTACCGGATGGGATTTGAGTGTTTAACTAGTTCAACCCACTTACTTATAGATACCCAAAGCAGGGAATGGGCTTATTCCAGGTCTTATAACTGCCCTTGCTGGAAGCCCTTGAAGAAGCCTTCAAGTGGAATCTGAATGACCACTTTGTCAAGAGACACTGGCGTGGTGATTTTTTCTTTTGGCGAGGCAATTGGGGTTAAGTGACTTGTCCAGGGCCACACAGCTAGTGAATATCATGTGTTTGAGCTCAGGTTTGAACTCAGGTCCTCCTGACTCCAAGGCTGGAGCTCTATCCACTGTACCACCCAGCTGACCCTGTAGTGGTGATTCTTGCTTGTGCTCAATTTAGGACTCTGTCTTATGAGTTCTTGTGCAACCCTTAGATTTAGTGTCTCTGTGTGTAACAATAACAGTTTTAAAACCCAGACTTCAGGTCTCTTGAATTCTACTCCAGGGCTCTTTCTGTGGTCTCAGCCTCAATGACCTTCAGATTTTCTTCTAAGACTCTATGATACTATGACTTGGTGAAGATTAGGTGCATGGTGTCATGGAGTGGTAGAAAGAATAATGGATTTGGATTCAGAAAACCTGGGTTTGATTCCTACTGATTCTATTTACTCCCTGTTGACCTTGGACAAGTCACTTTCTGGGCCTCACTTTCCTCTTCTTTAAAATGGATGGGTGTGAACTAGACATCCTCTACAATCCATTCCAGCTCTAAATCAATGATCTTATGATCCCAGAAGTTGGCATACTCAGCCCTACCTCTTACATTCCTGTTAAACTGAAGGATTCATGGGAATCTGTGCCTAGGTAAAATGTAGGTATTAATCCCTTTCTTTAACCACCATATAGCTTGGAAGGCACCAAAACAAAGTAAAGCTGATGTTTTCCAATGGCAGGCCTGACCTGAGTCATAGATAAGGGAGAAGGTAAAAAGAGAGTGGGCAGAGAGAAAAGAGAGAGTAATACAGTGCCACCAGTAACTTCCTCTGTTGCCTAAACCTCTGCCCTATGAGCTATTCCCCCAGCAATCTAAGATCCTAATCTATAAGATTTCTTTGCAGTTGGGCCTCAGGGAGTAGAACCCCGAATCAAATTTAATGATCTGTTAGCTGGAAGGAGACTTAGAAGTCTAATATCCTCATTTTCCAAATAAGGAAACAAATTCAGAGAGCTGGAGTGACATACCCAGGGTCAATGTGATACTAAGTGTAATCTGAGTTTTGGACCCAGATCTCCTGATTCCAAGTCCAATACTCTTTCTACTCCATGGATTCACATAAGCACAGTAACTAGCTTTGCTAACAGTGGCTACTGTTTTAGTAAAAGAAAGTTTGATCTATTTACTTTCCCCTCCAAACAGACAACGCCCTGATGTTCTGACATTGACAAATTGGTTTGCTCCGGTCATATGGGAGGGGACTTACCGTAGAAAGATCCTGGAAGACTATTATACCAAGCAAAAGATCACAGTGGGATTAACAGTATTTGCTATCGGAAGGTAGGTACCAATAGTAACCCTTCTTCATGTCCACTTTTTCATATGAAAAATTGTTATGGGCTATTAAAAGAGAAGTGATGGACTCAGGGTGCAAAATAAGATGTGTATTTTTTATACATGGCAAACATGGGATTCATATTTCTTGTGGGTTTTCATTTTTGTTTTATTTTTCATTTGTAATTTCCTGTCATGGCAACTTGTCCATTGAGCAAAATGAGTAACAAAACAGAAAGATCATTAGACAGGGTTTAGAGATTTGGGTCAGCTGTACCATTAATTCTATATAACCTGGGTGGATTGCCTCCCCATCTTTGAGGGGGATGGACTATATGTTTTTATAGTTCCCTTCCGGGTCTAATGTTCTATTATTCTAAAGACCCTACTCATGGTCTGTTTGAGATATCATCAAAAGAAAATTGTAGCTTATAGCCCATCAATACATTCTTTCCCTCTGTTTTTTCTCCCAGAAATCTCCTGAAGAGGCCTTCCTCTAGCTCCCTTGACCTTCTATGGGTGCCAAGGCAGCACTCAGACCTTCTATGTCATCTCTCATCTTTATGACATTCGACCCTCCTCCTTTTCTGGTCCTATATCTCATTGATAATATCTATTGCTCTGCTTTGTGAGCAGAATCTGTCATTGTTAATATGCTGCAACCTATTCTCATTCACCATGCAGCTCTCCATTGCTTTTTTTTTTTTGATTGCTTGGAGATTGTGATACTTCCATGATTTTCAGTCATACAGTATCACTGGAAGAAGACCAGTGTTAAAAAGATGGGTTTTGCAGCAAGGAAGGAACTTGAGAGGGTTAAAAACATTACACAATTTCTCACTGGCAATTTTGTCTTCCCTTCTCCTCTCGTACAATCCTGGGCCCCACTTGCAGTTCATCTGCTATGTCAGTCTAAGATATAACTACTGATGGACCAGCTCCATAGGCTTGCAATCAAATTGTCAAATGCTGGACAACAAGTATTCGTTATCCACTTAGCTTTCCCTGTATAGAATATTAGGGCAAACTCTTAAATGATTATGGTTATAATTTTAGGAGGCTCTGTGTTGTCCTGGGGCTTGATGCAATCAAATCATTGTTATCCACAAATAGAAGGATCTGGAGAACCTCACCATCTAAACAGAGCCTGCTTTTCATTTTGATGATGTGCTGGACATCATCCATGACAGTGACTAACAGCTTATATTTCCCTTTTTTATGTCTTGCATGATAACAGATATCACAGGAGCATCAATGTCATATCAAGGTCATCCTCATGAGAGTGGCTAACAACTTTGAGAATATATCTCCTTGCTTTATCCCTTGTATGATATTTTAAAAAATCACAAGAGCATCAACTTTATTTCTGCTGTTGTATATATGAAGGATATTATACAATCTGAACATAGGAATAGGAGATATTTTATTAGAGGAGAACATTTAAGGCTGCATCTTAACTTACAGAATCAGGGCGGCCTAGTAGAGAATGGGAAAAACACCAAGTTTAGAGTCAGAGGACCTGAATTTGAATTCCAGCTCTGCCGTTTCCTAGCAGTGTGTTCTCGGGCATTTCACGGAAGACCTTGCCTTTCATTTTCTTTACCAGAAATTAAATTGGATTAGATAATATCTAAGATCTTTTCCACTTCTGTCCTTTATCACTGCCTGTTATCAAATACTTTCTTATAGTTAACAGACATAATTATAACTTCCAATGGTGCCAATTCAAATATATGAGACCACTTTATGGGATTCATTATTTACACTCATCAAGACCTGGCTATGAAAACCTGCCTTTTCCCTTCTCATATTCAAATCAAGGATACCTTCAATATATGTATAAATTAATCTCCCCAAAATCTTTTAGAAATAAGAAAGTGGGCATATGAGTTAATAGTTACTGGTATTCTGACCATTGCCTTTTTTATAGTAATAACATCTGTGATTTTAAAAATAATTTGCTGTCTTCTCATCTTTCTAAAATCTTGAGAATTGACCATTTAAGTGACCTCAGAATTATGTTGTCACCAACAATGGACTTCCTCTATTTATAGGCAGTCTGATCTTGATTTTCTTCCAATTTTTGTTTTCTTTGGTGCCATTTTTACTTTCTCATTCCACACACTGGGGACTGTGAAGTTAATAAGAGTCCAAATTTTGTGGTTCAGACTCAGTCAGTCACTGGGACTGTATACTCACATTCTTGCATGGTATAACCTGCCAGAGCCTGTGTTCTTTTGGCATAGTCTTTGGAAACTCAGCATCATCTCCACACCACAATGAGACAGTGGAATAGAACTTTTTGTGTACATCTGAGGACAGAATCCAAAGACCTTGGGGAGAATCTATTAGTAAACATTTACTAAGCATTTGCTGAGTGCCAGAAACTATGCTAAGCTCTGGGGATCCAAAGAAAAAAGTAAAAATGGTCCCTTCCCTTAAGGAACTTACAGTCGAATGGGGACAACAACATGCGCATAAACAGGTGCACACAAGATATGTACAGAGGAAACAAAAAGGAACTTTAGAGTGGGAGGCTGATGGGATGGTGGGAGAAAGGTGGTGACCAGAAAAGGCTTCCCAAAGAATGTGGTGTTAGAAATGAGTCTTGGAGGAAATCAGAATTTTTAAGAGGTAGAAGTGAGAAGGGGAGAACTTTCCAGGCACAGTCAGTACAAAAGCCTGGAGATTAAAGATGAATGAAGCATAGTGTGAAAGGAACAGTAAATAGGTCAGAATGGATAGAACATGCAGTGTGTGTGAAATATAGTAATGTTAAAAGACTAGAAAGGGTCCAGGTTGTGAAGATCTTCAAATGCCAAAAAAAGCAAATTTTTTAAAAAATAAAACATTTTCATATTAGTCATTTTGTGCAAGAAAACTCAAGAAAAAAAGAGAAAGAGAGATGACATCAGTTCTTTCTCCCTAGGCAGATAGCATTTTTCATCATGAGTCTTTTGGGGTTATCTTGGATCATTGTATTGCTGAGAATAGCTAAGTCATTCACAGTTGTTCGTCATACAATATTGCTGTTACTGTGTACAATGTTCCCCTGGTTCTGCTCACTTCACTTTGTATCAATTCATGTAAGTCTCTCCAGGTTTTTCTGAAATCATTCTACTTGTCATTTCTTATAGCACAATAATATTTTATTACATTCATATACTACAACTTGTTCAGCCATTCCCCAATTGATGAACATCCCCTCAATTTCCAATTCTTAGTCATCACAAAAAGAGCTGCTATAAATATTTTTTGTAAAAATTGATTCTTTTTTAAAAAATCCCGTTGGGATACAAACCTAGCAGTGATATTGCTGGATCAAAGAATATGCACAGTTTTTTGGCCCTTTGGGCATAGTCAAAAGAAATAATTTTTTAAAATTCAATTTTATTATATTTTCACATCCAAAGTCTCCCCCTTCCATCTCCCTCTCTATTTCCTGCCTTGAGAAAGTAAAAAAGACAAAACTTACTACAAATAGGTAGAGTTAAGCAGAACAAATGACCACATTAAGCATTTTTTTAAAAAAAGAACAACCTGTAAACCTCAATATGTACTCTGAATTTGCCCTTCTCTATCGGGGGTGGGTAACATCTTTCATGAGTACTCTGGAACTGTGGTCAATCATTGTGTTATGTATTTCAAAGTTGTTTGTCTTTACTATTGTTGTTATTTTATAAATTGTTCTCCTAGTTCTACTTAGTCCTGGTTCTACTCACTTCACTTGGCATCAGTTCATACCAGTCTTTGCAGGTTTTTCTGAAACCATCCGTTTTATTATTTCTTACAGCACAATAGATTTAGGTCTAGGAAAAGGAGACTGAGAAGGAAAAGTCAGACAGGGGTCAATCAAGAGAAATTATCCAGAAAGATAATAAAATATGACATAATATTATGTCAGTGCTGCCAAGAGGTCAAGAAGGATGAGAACTGAACTTTGGAGAATGAATAGTATCCCATCATATTCATATTGAAACTTCTGACAGAGATAATTCTGAAAATAAGACAAATTAGATAAAGTTCCCCATGGTGGGGAAAAAGTGTGTGTGTGTGTGTGTGTGTGTGTGTGTGTGTGTGTGTTTTAAGTTTTGGCTTCAGAATTTTCAAAAATTTTTCATCTGTATTATTAGAACAGTGTGGTTTACCCTAGTTATGCAAACGACACTGAAGTTTCTTACTGCTAAGTGACTTCTCTGTGGTCTCTGATGTGGTCAAAATTATGACTCGTCCCTGCACTGCTTCCCTCATTTGCCTCAGCTCCAATTCTTTGCTAACACAAAAACTTAAATCCAATTCACTTGCATGTCATGGCATCACCTCCCTTAAGTCATGGTCCTCTTCAAGAATGAAGGACAAACAGCAACACAAAAATAGCTGCTGTATTTATATTTTATTTATTTCTGGTTTGTATTTATGAGACCTTTTCCTTTCTGTTTTATCTCTTTGGACAAAGTTGATATTTGAACCAGGAGGTAATGGAGGCTATTGGCGTTTATTGAGTAGGAGAACAATGATCAGGTCTGTGCTTTAGGAAGACATTTTGACAGCAATGTGAAGGTTGGATTGGAATGAGACCTGAAACAGTGAGACCAATTAAGAGGCTATTATTGTAATTGTCCAAATGGCAGGTGACAAAGGCCCAAATGAGGATAGTGGATATGTAAATTTAGAGGAAGATATGTGAGAGATGGTGTAAAGAAAGAAGTGACAAAATTGAACAACTGATTGAGTATGTGGTATGCGAGGATTTGAGGATGACACTGGGGTTGTCTGAGAGGATGATTCCCTTAACCATTATAATTGTAAGAAAGTTTGGAAGAGGGGAAATTTTGAGTAGAAAGATAATGAATTCTGTTTTGGACCTATGGGAACATCCAGTTTGAAAGGTCTAATAGACAGCTGGTGATATAGGACTGGAGTCAGGAGACAGACTAGGGGTGGATATAGGGATCTGGGAATCATCTGTATAGAGATATTAATTGAACCTATGGGAACTGGTGAGT